TTGTTGCTTTCCTTTTAAAGTTAGCTTTTTGTTATCCTGTCATCTATGTTTCTATCTTGCGTCGCCAAATTTGTGAGATACGTGGACTTTTCTCAAGCAAAAATACAGCAACAGTGGCAAAAATTTTATTTAGTTGATTTAGCGGGACCCGAACGTAGTAAATCCAAGCCACTGGAGAACGCTGCAAAAGAAGGAATAAATATAAATAAGGGACTACTAACGCTAAGTAATGTCATCTCGCAACTCGTAGTCCCTTATTTATATTTATGCCTTCTTTTAGTTTAATATAAAAATATAAAATTCCTGCAGATCAGGTGGACTCGAACTCGCGTTCTTGCGATTACGAGACTGGCACTCTACGCATGTGACCGCACTGCTACGCCGCTGATAATTGTGACTGATAACTGTGAAGAGCCTTCGCTAAATAAACGCATATTAGCGCGAAGATTTCGCTTTGGATTCATTAAAGATTAACCCAAGAAGGAAAAGTCCGTTGCCAAAAATTGTCATCTCAAGAAAAGAGTAATTATCTAAAAAAACTAGTGCTAAGAAAAAATACGATCGCGTGATTTCACCGGTACTAAACTTTATATATTATATAAAAAGTAAGAACCAAATAAGACCTTACCCCTACTACGCTCACTCAGTCTAAAAATAAAACATTTTAAATTTTGCATTATATTATTTTAGGTTGTAGAAAATCAATTTAAACAGATCATTTGGAACCCGAAATTTATTACGATTCCGCAGAAGAATCCGTGCACATATCGAATAGATAGCTCGCAAAGCATATTTTTATGTATACAAAAAATTAATAATTAATATAAATTGTCCTAGATTTATAGTTGAATTCGATTTATATTATATCATTATTTATCATTTATTTATAAAGTTTTATTAAATTTACAATAAAAATTACTCTTGTCACCAATTATTTTTTGAATTTTTGTGTCACAAAATTACTGTGTATTTTACATCATACCACCTTGTTCCGCAGAATTAAGCAATCTTTTTCTGAACAGTTCGATCACAATTATAACTTTGCGATAACTCAATTTCCTATATCGAAGATATCAGAAAGATTAGAACTCTTCTTTGAATTCAAACCTGTTTTTTGAAAAATAGCACGTAGTAAAATGGGTACACAACGAAGAAGTGACGTCGATTCAAAAGTTCACACGTTCTCGTTCTAAGGTTTGTGAACAGCTGCGGTATATTCATATGTACATATATTTAGATCAAAAACTTAAGAGTAATCGAAAGTTTGGAGATGGCGCAATAAAACAGATACTAAATTGTGTGGCGCGAATACTTACGTTACGTCAAAAGAAAATGTCAAAATTATGATTATAATATCATCTTATCTATTTCATTGTAATACATATCGTTATTGTATGAAATATAATTAACATCTAGTTTTAAGGTCATAAAGAAATTATGATTTATAATATTTACCGAAGTTTCAGTGATTTTAGCTTTATATTTTAATAGATTGCAATGAAATTCTCTTATAAAATAGGCAAAGATCTAATAGTTCGGAAGAGAATTGACGTTATCCCTAGTCAAAGTTCTATAAGTTAAATTTGACAATTTTTCAATTAATTCACTGTGTATAATTCGGTAGATATTCTTTATTGAAAATAATGAATATCTCAACATTTATATGTATATAGAAAGAAATCATGTTCACAGTTGAATTCTCCCATCGCTCATCAAACAGAGAGATTGAATTAATGCTGCTAACAAAATGTAATGTCTTTTATATCACACGTGCGTGGAAAGTGGCCCATTCCGCGTCTATACCGCTTTTACTTTAAATAATATCTAAAAGTTTATTTTTTATTATAAAACGAGAACATTGTACATTTATATGTACGAGAATAATTTTACGTAAGATCAAATATATAAACGTGTTATTATTGATCTCCTTTATTATCACATTGATATTACATTATTAACATTATTATCTATTTCTTTTATTCCTATATTCCATTTGTATAAAAATATAAATCAAATAATAGTCTATCAATTTGTTTCGAATTATGTATTTTTTACTTCATAAGCGGCTGAAATCTAAGTACAATATGTGTTATAGTACTTGCTATATGCATTTATATTTATATATTTTATCGCTTTATAAAATTGTTCTCATACATACAATAAAATGTTTCGCAATGTTTTTATCTTGAAAGGTGAAGTTTTGAACGTTATCTCAATTTTGTTAAAAACAGTATAAACAGAAAGCCTAAAGGGCAAACATTACAATAGTTCTTCATTATTTCATTATTTTCAATAAGGTATCTTATACACGTATCTATATACATAATTTTAGAAACCCTTCGGTGGTGGCCTATAGACGCCGACCACAACGGCGTGATCTCTCTCATACGGTTCGAGCGTGATTTGTTCCAATGGTTTCAAATTGTCTTCAAGTAATTTTTTCACTTCTGTCGCAAACACCGCTTCAGGCTTAGCGATTGAGTCTATACAACTTGCCTGAAACAAATGGTAAATATGAATATAATTTAATGCCATGGTACACAACAAAAATTTAAGCAGTATTGCCAAATCAGTCAATCAATAACTTAAGGCATAACATAAGCGGTTGCAAATCCAAATTGTTGATTTTCTTACTGCTAACGTTTTACTGTTTAAGTTATTTATTTGCCATTGTCCTTAAAGTCAAGAGTAATTAAATTTACTGCTTTAAAATCATTATTCAATTATTAGATTGTGCTTTATAATATCCAAGCTTAAATATACACTTTGCAATTGTAGTGTAATTGCAAAGATGTTACCTTAATAGAGATGACAAAGTGTCCGCCGCTCTTGAGGAAGTTCTGCGCGTTTAACGAGACAATTCTAGCCTGATCTGGCTGTGCGACGTCCGAGAATATAGTGTCTACCATTCCTACAAGCATTCTGTACTTGTGAGGGTGTCTCGCGTCCTCGACTATAGGTATGATGTTGCTTCTCCTCTTAGCAACATCAATCAAATCTCTCCCCGTTCGATGGGAGAATTCCACGGCAAAGACAGTTCCTTGCTGTATACATGAAAATATTAGGATATTTATTGTCAATTCTATATCATTTAGATACGTTCTTATATCAGCATAGACTCTGTATGCACGTTCTTTTAAGAGTAAAGTCAAATCTTACTCACTCGAGAAAAACGTGCATGTAATATTTTTCTAGCATCACTTCGACACCAAATTCGCAGTTGCAAGCTAACTTGGCTCTAATGTATGCATTTAAATTACATTCCCAAATAGATTTCCAATAAGTACTTACTGGGCCAACTATATCAGCGACATGAGACACAGTGGTACCCGATGCTGCCCCCAGGTATAACACCTTGCTTCCAGGGGCCATGAAAATTTTATCGACGCCTCCGAGGATGGCGGCGGCTAATTTAGACCGGAATGGATTCCACACTCTGTACTCGATCTTCTCGCCTGCTGCCGATTGCTCGCCAGCTTTGTCAGACTGCACAATGCGTGCATCATTTTAATTCAAACAGATGTAAAAAAATTAAAAGAAAAAACGTTATTTCTGTATTGTAACGTCCAAGTGGTGTTTACCTCAACGCTGATTCTTTTCTCTCCATATACCGCTACCCCAGGTACCAAGCTCAAGGTCACTAACGAGTCTTCCCTCCCTCTAGCTATGAATACTCCTTCATGGCGATGCGGTTCTATTATCACGTTCTTTCCACCTTTAAAACCACCGCCGCCTCCTCCTCCTCCGCCCCTCCCACCACCCCTTCCACCTCCTCGGCCTCGGCCTCCCCCACGTGGAGAAAAACCACTGCCTCTTCCTCCACCTCTGCCGCCTCCCCGACTTTCACCGAAACTTGGTCTACCTCCACGGACACCGCCGCGACCGCCTCCAAAACCACGGCCACCTCCTCCTCCTCCTCCTCTACCTCCACCTGGTGAAAATGCTGTAATGTGAAAAGAACATTAGTGAGAAAAGAATATAGCTAATGTACTTGTAATTTTCGACACACCTATTTTTATGTGCTATATATAAGAGATTATTAATAATATTAATAATTTCTTATAAATAACGTATTTATTTATTATATAATAATATATTATTAGTGTTAGTAATATAAAAATATATATAATAAATTATTTCTGATAAGAAAGAAATAAGTTATTCGCTTCAGATTTCACAAGATAAAATTTTATTTATATGTATTTTGATGAGTGTATTTTAATATATATTTTATTATATTTTATTACATTTACAATTGTCGGGTCGTTAGGGTTAGCGAGTTAGTGCCACGCGGCCAATGAGACAAGTGTTTGTCACTTGACATAAACATATGTCTACGGTCGTCGCGAACGCTGCCGAAATCAACTATGAATCGAAGTGGCCTAGGATCAAGCCGCGATATCGGATTCCAGCCACGCACTAGAATTTCAAAACGCGTCCTTCTCCCCGTCGAGGTTAGCCTCGTCGTTAGGAAAAGACCGACACCGCGGACGGTGGCGATGATCGCGATGAAATAAAAAGTCGAAACGCTATCTGCAACCTGCATGCATCCACATTACCTGGTTTACCCATAACGAGCTACGTGCAAACGATCCGCTGTGCTCCTCCCTGCAAAATTACTTTCGACATTAACCGAGAGCACGTGTATCAAACATCGAAATTGTCGGAGAAGGAAATGCGGAGCGCGCAGACCGGCAGAGCGGCGCCCGAAGATTCCAGACATGCGCAGTGACGCAACCACGGAGGAAGAAGATGATTGAAGGGTATATACATCACATCCGACTCCGGCAAGAACCGGCCCAACAGAAAATGGCCGTGTTCAGCAGACACAACTGTTGAGTTCGTCTTATCAACAATATGCGTTGATTGGTTGGTTCTAAAAGGAAGAGCCAATCACGTTCGACTGCTACTGGCTACTCAGCGGCTTGGTCTGCTGAACGCGCCCACAGAGAAACAAATAAATATTAGAATTATTATAATAATAGGAGAAATAGGAATAACAAAGATAGAAATAAAATTAAAAATTATATTGAGAGAGAAGAGAGAAGCGTAAAAATTCGGTTGTAAATGGTTGTAAAAGACAAATCTTGAGCTTCCAGAAATTTTTCTTACTTTGCAGCCAATCGAGAGGTTAGATGTGTTTTACGACAAATGAGTGCAATGATAGGGGAAGTGAGATGAATGGGATGAATAGGATGAATGAAGAGAGAAAACAGCTTTCCTTGCATTTCATTATTCTATAATTACGCGGTAATGTTCGATGTGTCGCGTGTTCACACGAAAGAATATATGAAAATTAAAGGGACATATAACGTTTTTTCCGATAAGCTTCTGTTTGTGTGAATGCGTATTCTTCTCCTCTTGCGTTTATTTCGATTGCCGGCTCAAAAACAGCGCGATGGACATACGTAACCTAGTTTGAGGCACATTAGAGCCTTTTACTAAATATATTTCTTAATAAATATTGGACATTGAAGTGTTACACGATCTATAAATATATGTAAATGTTATACATGCGCATGTGACAGCGCAAACGACAATATGAAGTAAGTACAAGCATTCTGTCAAGTAAGATGTTTTGCTTTTGCTCAGGTATTTATTTATGAATTTATTTTTCTGTCGCAGGATAAGCGTTGACGGATTGATTGTGTATTTCCCGTATGATTATATTTATCCCGAGCAGTATGCGTACATGCTCGAGCTCAAGCGTGGCCTGGATGCCAAGGTATCGTCTATTTTCTCTTGCATTTCATTGATATCGTCTTGAATATTGAGAAACTAAATAGCTAAATTATTTGCTTCAGGGACACTGTCTCCTGGAGATGCCTTCAGGCACTGGCAAAACGATAACTTTGTTGTCACTTATTGTGGCATACATGCTGGAGCATCCGTTGGATGTGACAAAATTAATTTATTGTTCCCGGACAGTGCCGGAGATAGAAAAAGTTATAGAGGAGCTGAAGAAGCTTATAGACTATTATGAGAAAGAAACGGAAAGCAAGCCAAAAATTGTCGGTCTAGTTCTTAGTTCGCGTAAGAATATGTGCATTCATCCCGAGGTAATTTAAACTACACCGTTTGTATACTCGTAAAACAAATTTGCTGCAATTGTAGTTAATTGCATTTTTGTATATAGGTCAGTCGAGAGCGAGAAGGTAAAATTGTGGATGGCCGTTGTCACTCTCTCACCGCGTCATACGTACGAGAGAGACATAATTACGACGAATCTACTCCAATTTGTAATTTTTATGAAGGGTTTGATATGGAGGGCAAGGAACAAATTATCCCTCCCGGTATTTATTCCATCGACGATTTGAAAGAATACGGGAAAGATAGAAGCTGGTGCCCGTACTTCCTCGCGAGATTTACAGTAAGAAACTTTGTAAATCCTTTTACTCGAGTTTACGCTTATGAGTAATTTAAATAATAAGCAGATAAAGTTGACAATCAATGTTTAACACTTCCAGATCTTACATGCACAGATTGTAGTGTACAGTTATCATTATTTATTGGATCCAAAGATCGCCGAGACTGTATCCAAGGAGTTAAGCAAGAGCTCAGTAGTTATCTTTGATGAAGCTCATAACATTGGTATGAGAATTAACGTTATGTTCGGCGCTGAAATAACTTGCAGTGCAAGAAAATGAAAGTTTGTAAATTTTAGATAATGTCTGCATCGATTCCATGAGCGTTAAGATAAATAGGAAGACAATGGAGAGAAGTTCGACTAACATACAACTTTTAGAAAAAACTGTGGCTGAGTAAGTATGTCATATGTTCTTCAACGACACTACAAGTGTCAAACGTTAGCTTCAACGACACTACCTGAGTCAAACGTTAGCTTTCTGGAAAAAAGTCCTATCTTAAAGCATCTTATATATGATCTCCTTATATATGATGTATTAGAATTTCTTGTAAAAAGATTCTTATCAATTGTATTTTGATTTAGGATGAGAGAAGTCGATGTAAATAAATTGAGGGAAGAGTACGACAGATTGGTTGAGGGACTGAAGGATGCTCAATTCCAGAGAGAAACTGACGTCATCTTAGCCAACCCTATTTTACCGAATGAAATACTTGAAGGTTAAAAAAGTTGCCTTAAAAAAAAATTTTTCACGTATACGACGACTGAACAATTTTCCTTCATTAAAATTTCTCTTTGCAGAAGTTGTACCGGGTAACATAAGAAACGCCGAGCATTTCGTCAGCTTCCTGAAACGATTCGTCGAATACTTGAAAACTCGCTTACGCGTTCAACACGTCGTGCAAGAGTCACCTGCGGCGTTTTTAAGAGATATCCAAGCGAAGGTTGCTATCGAGCGGAAACCATTGCGATTTTGTGCGCAAAGATTAGCGTCCCTCTTACGCACTATGGAGATAACAGATTTAACGGATTTTTCTCCGATAATCCTTGTGACGCACCTTGCGACATTGGTCTCCACATACACGCATGGCTTCACGATTATAGTGGAACCATTCGATGACAAAACCCCGACAGTATTGAATCCGATTTTACATTTTAGCTGTCTAGATTCTTCTATCGCTATCAAGCCCATATTCGATAGATTTCAAACCGTGATAATCACTTCTGGAACATTATCCCCGTTGGATATGTATCCCAAAATTTTAAACTTTCATCCAGTCATAATGTCATCGTTTACAATGACATTGGCTAGGCCGTGTCTTTTACCTATGGTAAGTTAAAAAAGAAAAGATAAATAGTCTAGATGTGTTTTATCAATACTTCATCTATTTATGCCTTTCCAATATCAGATCGTTGCCAAAGGTAACGATCAAGTTACCATTTCGTCGAAATACGAGACACGAGAGGACGTTGCTGTTATAAGAAACTACGGTCAATTGTTGGTCGAATTCTCTGCGACAGTGCCTGACGGCTTAGTCTGCTTTTTTACATCATATTTATATATGGAGTCCGTAGTGGCCGCTTGGTACGTACATACATATTTCATGAAATATATTGCATTGAAATTTTATAATAATTTATAAATATGCATTTTTAATGTCACAGGTACGATCAAGGAGTCGTGGATCAACTTCAGAGACATAAATTATTATTCATCGAAACGCAGGATTCGGCGGAAACCAGTCTAGCTCTGATCAATTATATAAAAGCTTGCGAGAACGGTAGAGGAGCCGTTCTACTCTCGGTAGCTCGCGGAAAGGTGTCCGAAGGTGTCGACTTTGATCATCATTTGGGCAGAGCCGTGCTGATGTTCGGCATACCTTACGTGTACACACAGTCACGTATCTTGAAGGCGCGTTTAGAGTATCTCAGAGATCAGTTTCAGGTAAGTCCAGTGTAACATTAAAATCGCCATTGAACGCTTCTGTATACTTGAACAATATATATATGCTTATGTCTTTTCAGATCCGAGAGAATGATTTCTTAACTTTCGACGCCATGAGACATGCCGCACAGTGCGTAGGACGTGCGATCAGAGGGAAAACGGATTATGGTATCATGGTGTTTGCAGATAAGGTAAATCTCTTTGGAGAACAATCTGTCGTATGTTCCTCACAATAATATTTCTGAATTTTGTACTAACAAACTTTTTTTTCATGTCTACGCTACCGCAGAGATTTTCAAGAATAGATAAACGAAGCAAACTACCAAAATGGATACAGGAACATTTGACTGATAACTTATGCAACTTGTCAACCGAAGAAGCTATACAGGTAACGTTAATTTTTCTTTTTGTAGCAGGTGCGATTAGTGATTACGATTCTGCGATTTGTCCAATAATATTTATTTACAATTTTTCAGATCAGTAAAAGATGGTTACGACAAATGGCACAGCCATTTACGCGCGAGGACCAGCTTGGATTGTCATTATTGACGAGAGAACAACTTGAGAAAGAAGAGGCTGCCAAGATCGAACAAAAAGCTCAGCAAAATTGATAGCGCGACATTGGCACTAGGCCGAGCAGTCCGTTTTACTTAGGCAGAGTAATCTGTGCCATTTACAGAAAATATATTTCATATGCTGCTTGTACAAAGGCCTTCATAATTTGTACTTTTGATCGCATCTGTATTGTACAAGGAATGTAAAATATAAGATATACTTTTTTCCAATAGTGGCAAGTATTTATCTCATTGACTTAAGCTTACGTTATCAGGTTAGCACGGTTCTCACAATCTCAGCAAGGTTCATTAAGAACATGCGATGCAATTAAAAAAATTTTAATAACAAAGTATCATAGAGCGGACTTTAACAGCGTAGAAAATACAGTCATATCTATAGATATAATTTATTCGATATCACCACCTCACAAGAACTTGATCGCCGTCCTGTATTGAATAGTAACTAAGTTCTTGTAGCGGTTTGTCCAACGAGATTTCATCGTTCGATAGCTGAAATGTTAAAATAATAGCATTTATTCATCGATTAATAAGTATATACGGGATGATTCAGAAGAACCTTTTGTCGTTAAACTACATATTCCTGATTAAATTGATTGTAAAAAGTTGTTCTGAATCATCTCGTGTACATTTTTTATATAGTCTAACATTAAACTTACATTCCGTTGAATAAACGAAAGAGCCGGAATCTTTCCACCGGTTTTAAAAAGCCTTTGAACAAGCCCAATCATTTTTTGAACTTCCATATCTTTAAGTAACTTCCTTTTAATCCCTCTAGACTGACATGGATCGTCCGGACATACAAATTCCACCGTTATCACATTGGAAACCATTTCTACTTTCGGTTTAGCCGAAGGAATATCCGCAATTCCATATTCTGAAAGTGTAAAATATTTTCTTTTATTTTTCAAGAAACTATGTTTTATTTTGCATTTAAAGTATTCTTTACTGTAAGAAATTTAAAGTTCATACATACTACTGACTAAAATAGGATATCGCGGATGTTCATTTATAAATGACGTTCGCTTTTCTGAATTACTTTCGGTTTCTAGCCACACTGGTAAAAACAACTTCAAGTAATCATGCTCTGCGCCTCTCCTTTCATTATGAGGTATCTCTGTACCATTTAAGATCTTTAATTTCGCTATCTTTGCGATTATCAATTGTCGAGCAGTCTCTACAGTTTCGTTCTTCAAAATGGGATTTTCTCTGAATTTCAAGTCTTCTAGATTTGATAGTTTATCCAATTCGCTAATCGATTGCCACTAAAATTTTATGTCAAATGGTTTAGTTAAAAATTTTGATATAAAATTTTAACTGCATCAATACTATCTACGAAAAAACCTAACTTATTACCTCTGATATGTGGTTTTCCGAAATATGTAGATGACGTAGCATTGGAAACAAAGCAGTCTTATCTGTTGATGTTGAAGATGGAAATCTAATTCTATCTATTTTATTTAAATTCAAATTAAGATATTCTAAGCTGTAAAAAAAGATTTTTTTAAGTATTATATGAAATATAAATTTTCTGTTTCTTTTTACCGAATAAAGGAAATAGGTAATAAAGAGAAAAAAAAAGGAAGATGATTGGATATTTCGTAATGCAACTTACCACGGAAGGGAACCTAGTTTAAGTATCTCATCCCAACTTGATATTAGATTTCCTTCGAGTATTAATGTAATTATTCTCATTAAATTAGTATTTGCCGTTATGTCTTCTATGGTTGTGACAATATTAAAAGAGACTGAAAGTTCTTCGATCGACGGAAACATGGATATACATTGCCGAATATCAGACCAGTTGTAATTCATTCTAGCTATAGTTAAATGCTTAACAGTTGGAAACGAATCTTTTAACGCTGCCACATCTTCTATAGGCAAATGGTTCTCACTGTGTAAACAAAAAAGACGAATTCTCCTATAGTTGCAGCTCATGTGTATTATCGATAAGTATATTTCTAACATTGTTTAATATTGTCTAATATTCTGGGCAAGTTTAAAAAATACCGTCAATATGAAGAAGTTCGGTTCTCACCTGACGTTAAGACGCATCAGAAAACGAAGCTGGGAACAGATGTCTGCTACAATTTTCCACGAATTTATTAAATTTCTAGATAAATCCAATTCCTCCAAATTAGGACACAGTTCTTTCAATTCCCATGGCTCTCCCGCATTGGATACACATTGCTCCCTCAGCCACACTATCTTTAGCTCGTCAAACTTGCTCTGTTTCTTATTCACTTTGGAGAAGCCGACAAATTCCAAAAACGGTGCATTGATTTCTTTCCTTAAGCTCGACACCTCGTCCCTGTCTACGCCCGCTAATTCATCGTCGATTAGCCCATAGCGCATTTTGATGGCCTGCGAGCAAGATATCCCAAACTTGGCTTTGCCCGGTCGTATAAAAGAGCCTGATGTGGAATGTCTGTTGAAAGTTATACGCAGAGTTACAGATCACTGCTGTCATGCTTATTGCAAAACAACCGTCTCACGTGTTTTTACCTGGCTTGAAAATACTCTACGCCTTCGTACGTGCCATTGTGTTTGCCACGAGTCGAATCGTCCCAGTCTACGCCCAACCACTCTCCCTTGGTGTTCCCAACGGGTCCGACGTATTTCAACGTACCTCGATAACCGTCGCACTCGATACGGCTTGGGATCTCATACTTTCTATCCTCTACCATACCTGAAAAGATCAGAGTGTGACAAATCATCCTGTGGCAAAGAGACACGAGGGAATATAGTCCTTAAATCCAGACGAGTATAACACAGGCTTGATAAACTAATCGCAACACGTGAAGACTTTTATAGAATTTAATACACAAGAATTTTATGTAAGGAAACGTACCTATCGGGGGATACAGATCGCTTCAGATTGCGGCTGACAGCGTAACCTCCAAATCAGAAATGCACATTGAGAAAATATGGGAGAGGCGGGGGATCGCGATATCGCCGTGTGCGAGAAACGTCTGGGAGTATCGCGGAAAGTAAAACGAAAACGTTAGGAAACGAAATCACATACGCGGTGACTCGCTGCCTCTCTATTTTGTGTTCCGCGAGAGCTTCGCTGTAGAAGGCATTCCTGTATTTCCTGTTGGGCACCCACACGACCGCACACCTGCACCCGCCTGCGCCTGTGTGATGTGTCACGTATATAGGTACGTTCATACACGTGTACACACATACATGTATCTGAATATATATGCATACGTAAGAACGTATGAAATATACATGAGTTTGCAACGCGCGTGTAACTTGAATAAAAAATTCCATTTTCAAAAGAAATACTCTTGCTTCTTTTTATAACGCAAAAACGTCTGTCTCTTTGGATGAATATCCAAAGAATAGAATGGATGAATATCTTAATCAAATAATTTATTATAAAGACATATGTCGTGCAGTAAAAAAATATCGACTGTTTGGAAACGGAAAATAAATATCCCAATCAAATAACTTATTATAAAGATATATGTCGTGCAGTAAAAAAAAATATCGACTGTTTGGAAACGGAAAATAAATATTTTGATTTTATTAGTCGAGAATTCTGTAAACATTACATACTCTTGATACTCTACACATATAACGTAATGTAATAATATAAAAAAAATGTACAATCGTGTGCTAGAAGATATATAGTGCGCATAAATACGTATCATTTTCACTCGCGTTTAACTTATATAGTGGTTCTGGTTTCTCACATCTATATAATCTAAGTTCATATAATATATATATATATATACCAAGTTTGATAATCTCTGATCGTTTGTTACATAGTAGAACATTACATCCAATACATTGAATTACACTGAATTTAAGGACTTATTGCTCCAGCGCAAGATATATATTAAGCACCTAACATGTAATTGGCAATGTTAGCACCATGCAGGATTTCGATCCAGTAACCATCGGGGTCTTTAATAAAAGCTATGCCCTTCATTTTGCCGTCATTTGGTTTCTTCACGAATTCCACACCGTACATCTCGAACCTTTGGCAGGCTTTGTCGACGTCAGGTACTGCTATTCCAATGTGACCTGTATTTCAGGAAAGAGAAGATAAATAATTACTTGTAGAATTATAAAAAATGTTTCGTCTCTATTTATATCTTACAATTAGTATTATTTACAATTTAGATAATAATTTTAAGAATAATTAATGCATTTGACAAATTTCTTACCAAATCCTTTGGGATCTGCATTTCCATTGTAATATTTTACATCGGGATCTGTTTCTGTTCCCCAATTGCTAAAATATGCGTTTATTTTCTGTGTAAAAATACATGAACTCTCACGTATTTTCTCGCAGGGTGTCTCAAAAAAACTATTCATATATTTTAAAACTTACTGCGTTAACTCTATGGTCGCTTTTTTACGGAATGTCCATTCAATACTTTCTCTACGATCGAGTGGGATTTCCTTCTGGTCCTCGTATCCAAGGAAATACAGGGAGAATTGCATTTCTGGAAAGTCGAGCTTTTGCAGCAAGGTCATTCCGAGGACTTCGGTATAAAAGGGCAAGGATTTTCTTGGGTCCTTTATACGGTACATCGTCTGCTGCATTATAAACCCATTTGTTGAGGGATCTGGTGTTTTGCAAAGCTTACGAACTTCGCTGTTGCTCAAACCCAACGGCTCACCCATCTGCAATTTAAGACATATCATTATTCGCCTAGAATAATTTTGGCTAAACTCTGATTAATTTAAACGACGAATTGCTTATAGTAAAATGTTTTACCATACAACTTATTATACCCTTTCTAATCTCTTTTTACATACAAACAACAGAAATAATTTTATCCATGCTAATAAAATATTGTAGATATTACTGGACACAAAGTAATAAACGATTAAATTAATTAGAATTTAAATCACTTTCGTTACAAGAGAAGGTATCTCTTTAATTTAATTTGTATAATTTCTTGAGTATCCCATACAGCACAGATTGTTGCAGAAAGCTTCCAGAAAGGTTCCAAATCATTTGAAACCTTTCTGAAAGCTTTCTGCAACATTCTGTGCTATATGGGTACCTATGTTATTATTTTAGTTTCTTATATTACTTAGCCAAAAGATATATAATTATAAGTATATTAGTTAATTAGTATATGGAGGGATAAAAACCACTGTGGTTTTTACCCCTCCATATATACAGGGGGTGTTGCACATGTCACCCGCTGTCATGTAATTATTATTTCTAATCAGTACAGGAATCGGAAGTCGGCCTTACCGCAAGGCCAGAAACGATAAGGCAGAAGTAATCCGCAAAATTTCAAGCTGATAAAACTCATATTATAATTCGCGAAACAATTCTGCTACATCATACATTGTATTTGTTTCCAAACAGCGCCACAATTCTTGTTACATTAAAATATCGAATCACAGCAGAAAAATTGTGCGTACTTCTCCACTTTTTAACACTTTTATGATCACTATGCCCACAATAAAGTTCAAAGTTTGAACCATTTAATTTGACACTTGTGATGGTTTATCTCTTTTTGCTTGGGAAATGTTTCATGCATTTTTGTACGTGTAAAAAGTATGACAGTATAATTTTCGGCATTATAACGACTTTATACAATCTAAACTATAACTATACAGAGTTAGATACATTATACCTTTTTATTCGTGTGTGTTTATTTGTAAGAGAGAAAATTACACTGTCACATCACGTAGGTTCTATTGTTAACAGCGCATTGTTTCACATATATATCTGTATCGCGTAGGCGATACAGACACTCGGGCTGCTTTTGTCACTCGACGTTTTAAGGATTTATCGACTGCGATTATTTCCGGGCCGAAGAGTTTACAGATAAAACCATCACCGCCATTCAAGGACGCGCCTATTCCCGGCATCAATATATTCGCTCACCGCCATATGGCAATTCGAATAGGCTGTAAGAATCGTAGGCAATTGTCAGCGATACATATCGATCGCGTGTCCAACTCGGCGATCCATCCTAGACGCGCAGCATCCGGGATCACAGCGTAGAACCTGCATTCTCGATCGTTCCTCGGAGACCTGCTGTGCGAAGTGCGAAGTAGTTTCTCGCGGAGAGCACACGATCGCACGAGATTACACGGGCTGCGATTATCGCGTCGTCACGGTTCGTCGACGGTCCTTCGCCACGCAGACAACAAATTTAATTCCAGTACCCTTACCTCTTCCTCGAAAGACGCCAGAGTAAATGTAACGCCGTACGAACGAGAAAAAAATTTCACGCGAGCAAACGCGAGATGAGAGCTTCGTACACGGACGCTTAATGTCGGCAACTATCTATATATAGCATGCGCATGATGCGCATACGCTCGGCGTCATAAAATGTCTTCCGCATGAGGTTACACCAATTTTGGGCGTATGTAACACTAAGCATGCGCATCGTACCTAGGATATTGACGCGTCGTAACTGTGATCACAATCGAGGAAACGGTTTTGTCTTCTATCGCGAAGCACGGCTTCAAAGTGACAGCTTCGCACGTTGCAATTAAAAAATTAATTAAGGTTATGTGCGATTAAAAACGAAAGCGCATTTACCTAGCGTCAGTAAACTATCGATTGTCAGTAGATTATCGACTGGTCGATAAATCGAGATAAATCTTGCAATGTCAATAATCGCTTTTGGGTGTATTTAATTTTTCCTAATTTTTCGTAATTAGAGTAAAATGTGATGAAAACTAGTGCGACCTCCTTGCCGATTATGTTCTCCTGATACTTTATCAATTTTCGTTATTTCTGTCTTAAAATCTTTAAACTCTTAAAATTCTCGAAATTGTAATACTTGGAATTCAAATTTAATTTTCAATTTTAGTTTAGCGTGCGGGGAAAGGCAGAGAAGCATATATATATTTACAGGACAGATAACCGGTATGTTTTGCATTATTAAAATACAGATTTGATTATATTTTTGTAAATTACAAAATATATATTATTAATGACTATACACGCTTAAATTATTGATTACTTTCTCTTTCGTTGGTTTACAGGCTAATTATCAATTACTACGCGTAAGCACGTGACGCGACGCGACGCGTCCCGTGAAAAGTGGAGTAGTAGCTCTTCCGCTGAAGCACCGAACACGGCGATTGTGACGCCGCTGCTTCGTTTTACCCTTATCTGTCAGAAGTGACAAATCCAAGACCCCGGATCGAGACAGTCGATCGTCAGACGTATAGGTAGCTCCCGCGAGATTCGGGCGACGCAATGGCGCACTGGTTTCACCGCAACGTGCTGAAAGCGACGTACGCAAATCAGAATTTCGAGTTGAAAATCTCTAATCCTACGGACGCCACCAGGAAGCTTTGCAGGTTAACAGATTTCTGATATAAATCACATACTGCGCATTTCACGGTCACCACTTGATGATTTTTTTAATTAGTTATCGGAAGCTGTGATATCTGATAACTCTGCAATGCGAATATATATAATTATCAGAACCCACTGACATTTGCATTGTAATACATTAATTATGCTGGCTATTGGATTGTCAGTTTCGCATTTCTTTCTTACACCTAAGATTCTGCTTTTCTCTTCGAAAAAATACAAGTTCCAATATTGTCAAGAGACATTTGTGTTTTCAGTGACATAAAGCTGTCAAGAGCCAGGCTTCTCGACCTGCTCAGAAATCCAAACAATACCAGCGATTCGATAGAGCCTGCGTTTCTCAGTTACCTAAGTTTGTTGTATGGATTTCTATGGGAAATCAACCCGTCCGAGGAAGAAGCGCAGCATGTCGGCAGACCTAATCCCAGCAAGCTCAGAAATGTTCTCGTGTTCAAATGGACGCACACGTTGCTTGGCTGTGGCACATTGTAATCAATTATAAAAAGAATCTTTATATAAGAAGTAATTCTGAGACGGTCTCTGAAAGATTTCATTAAAAATTTTTTGTTAAAGTTCTAGCGCTGACTCGGTTTACGAAGCAGCTAACATGAGCGTCAATGTAGGCCTTTGGTTTATGAAGCATGCGGCGATGATTGCTGCAAAAGATGAGTAAGTATGAATTGAACAAAAACGTTTTAAAATAATCCTCAATATGCATTAACTAATTATAATATACGTATCATAATTATAGCATAACAATGGACGAAGCTAAGGAAGTGCACAGTATGCTAAGACGGGCCGCCGGAATATTTACTTTTGTGCAGACCGAATTTTTGCCACAGTTGGCTAATCCACCGCCTTTGGGAAGTGACTTGGACCCTCGTGTACTAAATGCATATGTTAATCAATGCACAGCGGAAGCGCAAGAAGGTTGTACTCACGCGAGAATGTGATTTCAACGAGTTTAATTGTGCTTACATACCTCTTCGTCATTTTTTTTTACAGTGACAGTGGCTAGAGCGGTAGAACTGAAACACAATTCTAGCTTGATATCAGCTTTAGCCAATGAGACTAGTAAGTTGTTTCTGGACGCCGCCAATACTCTTCGTCCATTCAAACCAGAAATATCTGCTCAATGGATAAAATATCTGGAGCTTAAAGCAGCATTTTATCAATCTTACGTAAGTTCACAAGTTTGTAAAGATCGATATTACAATTGGTTACAAATGCGAGCGAGAATTTTGTTAGCTTACGCTCCAATTTCTCCAGGCTTATAATTATTGCGGTGAAAACTTGTTGGCAATGGATAAATGCGGCGAAGCGATACGAGCGATGCAGGAAAGCGATTTGTGTTTAAAGAAGGCGAAAGCGCTCTGTCAGGAATATGGGAAAACGAACGGGCCTGCGCCTCGCGTTAAACCGGATCAACACGCCGTGTTTAAACGCTTGGCGCCTATAGTGAAGCTTACTCTCGATAAGTGTAATCGAGAAAACGGTTTGATGTAATTATCTCGTTTGAATTTATTATTATCTTAACGTGGCGCATCAATTTTAAAATGTATGACGTTTAAACGGTGCATTAATCCGGGTTTAAATTATTAGATACCATCATACAGTACCGGGAGAAATTCCAGTCTTAGATACCAAGGCTACTTACGGCTTGGTCAGTCCGATCGACTTTCAAATGCCGTCACCAAATCATATCTGGAATTTGGGCACATACAGCGTACTAGCTGGGGTAGCGGCGGCGAAAGCGGGAAAGGAGCACAATTTGCCGCCGGTTAAAGAAGAGGCGATTCATCAAAGCAGCAAGGAGCCAAAAAACGCAAGCGGTTGTACGCTACAATAAGGCTCTCTACGTGCAACGATATAGGCCGTTTGTAAATGCTTTCTTTTTTCGTCACAGTGATATTAATTTTAATTGCGATAGACATGTGTGGACGGCGTTCGGAGTTAGACATACGTGTGTCACGCGCACACAAGTACAAATCCCGTTGTATGGAACGTAAAGTATTAACTATTAGATTAAAAAAGAGAAATACAGAGTAATTATCTATTATTACGAAAACGCATTTCACTGACAATGAGTATTAAATACCGCGTCACGCAACGGATAGATAAATGACTGCAAAAGAGAGATTAATCTAACCGATTCTAACGTATCAGTGTACATCTGCATCGTTCTACACATGTCCGAATCCTTTTAGCGGGCGACTTTTACGTTTGCGAAATAACATATGTGATGCGATTCGTAATTTGCTTTTATCGTACGTAATCAATACTATGGCTACTATTGTAGATACAAGTGATTCCTTGCTCAAGGCAAAGAATTGTTGATGTCGCAGACATTACTTTAATCGCTTTGTTCGACCTAGTCAATGCTTTAGAGTGAAACTAAATTTTTTAATCGGTAATGCGAGGGAGAAAATGCTCGCAAGCAATGTGCATATAATGCACATTACCAGTATGCATATATTATAACAAAGAGACGTATGCAATCTTTTTCTACATATTTTTTATAAGCTATAGGTTTAAATCCAGAATGTTCAATTCAGATTATAAAGATATTATATATATATATAAACAAAGTGTCTCAAAAACAAATGTTAAACTAATGCCAAGCATTAGTTATTGGTAAATGATAGCAATTATCTCTGTTAATAATTATTATTTGTGATATGTAAAGCATTTTTATATATATATGTATACATGACCAGTGCGTTAACTATTGAAATTAAAAACTTACAGGTCGCCGCACTTGATATTGGCTTTCGGAAATTATTTATGTATACACGCGATAAGAAATTTTGTTAGCTGTTAAATATTTAAGAAAATAATTTTTGTGTGCAATATATTATCAATGAAATCAATGTAGCAATATCTTATCTATATAACATAGATTAATAAAGAGTATTAAATATATCACAGTCTGTAAGGATCATATTTGACATTCAAACATATTTTTCATATAACAATAACTACACATAAAATATAAATATCTAAATGTACGACCTGCATGTGCATTAAAATAAAATATATAAATACTAACATCGATAAATAAAACAGAAAACTTAACATTTATGCTACTTGATTCGAATTTAAAATGTCAGCAATGCTGTGGATCTCGACGAGTTATTGGAAGTTTTAATTGGCTGCCGGATGGAGAATTTGTGGAGTTGCTCCAGGAGTTTCTAGAGACTCTCCGTCCGACGGCCAATCGGCCGGCACCGATGAAGCCAGGTTGGGCGATATTGTCCAATTGGTCTCCACAACAGCTCCATTGCTCCATTCGTATGCCCGCACGCACCTAACCTGACCCCGGCCCGACCATGGCAATATTGGCAATATGGCATTCGATCGGATCGCGATACGGACGGGACGCGCGAATCGTCCGCTGCTCCTGCTGTCCTGAAATTAACGATGACGCGCGGCTACGTCTACGCGGTGATGAAATAGCGAACGTCGTCTACGCGGTGAGGAGACACGTCGGTGGCAGTGAAACCCGGACGCGAGGATGCCGATGTCGGCGGGTCGACGCGGTGACTAGATCCGCCGAGATGGAGTAGACTTTGCGTACGCGTGAAAACGTAAATACACCCGTGACGAAGCACCCGTCTCGAGAACATCAAGGTCGGTGCGCGGTCTCTTCCTCGTCGCCGAGTCGAGAGGTAAGAGGAGGCGCCTGACACCGTCGTCGATTACCCGACGAATCTCGGCAAGGTAACGAACGTCCCGCTGTACAACCTTCAACGACAACATCGGTGATCGGATCGCACATATACTTTGCCCGCGATGACGGCAATACTTGCGTGGTCGATAAAGCGGATCTATGCTCGCGCCGCTCTTTCATTAATTATTAATAATATGTAAATATCAAAACGTGTAACTCGATGAAGAACCATAAATTACATGCAAAGTTAATCGTTAGAGATTTGTTAAATTTTATTAGAGATATATCTTCCGTTTCGTAAAGTTTCCATTCTATTGATATTCCTGTACGTAAACAATCTAATTTCGTCCTTAACGAACATTCAGTATTTACATAAAAATGAATAAATATTGATTATAATTTTTCTGTTTTGTTCAATCTCGTATACGTTGGACAGTTAATGCTGGACAGTTCCAAGTCCTTAAATGCTCTTAACCTTTAAGCGTCTGAAATTTTTTCTTAACACTTGGCAATTGCCACCCTATTTCCTAAGCAGAGCAAGAAATAAAAATGGAGGAGAAACACGGCAGTAGAGATGCGCTAGAGGAGGACCTGGTAGACACTGAAAACATAATAATTAACGAAGTGGATGGCCTACCAAACCTGCATCCAAACTACGGACAGCTAGAACTCAAATTCAAGAGAGAAAGAGACGACTCAAATATTAGATCGATCGACGAGTTGGTTAACGACGAGGATCTACCGACTTCTGTAATCGTTACAAACGTAGACCCTCGAGTTTTTAGGTGCGACGATCTGAAGGTAATAAACATTTAGTAATGAGATACCAAAGTAATGGGACCTCTGTTACATTAATACATCGTGCAATGCTGCGTCTTTACAGTCGGCCATAGAGAATCTTTTCAAACAGTTTGGAGAGGATGCTACGTTTCAATACTTTAGATCTTTCAGAAGAATGAGGGTAAACTACGATTCTCCCGGTGCTGCAGCAAACGCGAGGATACAGCTGCATCAATCGCATTTTGGAGAAACCGATATTAATTGTTACTTTGCGCAACCAGTGACGCCTATAGGTTCGTAATTATCGTGGGATTCTAGAATTAAGTGTGTCGTCACATTGACGAAATTAATCAAGCGTAGGAAATTCACGAAAAAGGACAGTTTCTAATTCGCAAGTAAATTAACTTGTAGACATGGAGGATCAGCATCTTCAACCGCCCGCGCTTACCAAACAGTTCCTCATATCTCCTCCTGCTTCTCCGCCGGTCGGTTGGCATCCACGTGAGGAAGGAGAGCCGCTCGTTAATTACGATCTGTTAGCCGCTATAGCCAATTTGTCCGCAGGTTACTATTGATCCGAATGATATTATTTTAAACTTACACCGATTTCGTATTTTACATAAACCGTTATTAATGTTGCAGGCGGGACACACGAGATACATCCAGGAGGGTCGGGGCAGCCGGGCATAGTTGTGCACGTTTGCGAGAACGCGAATCCGACGAAAAGTACGACTCGCATTCAACACACGCGATGTCCCGAACAGTAATTCGCTCTCTTTAATTCCCGCGTCTCGGATTTCTCACACGATACGTTTTTATGCCCTGTTAAAAAGCCAGATACGAATTGGCAAAAGGGCACTCTAGCGAGTGACTTCAAATTAGTGTTAAATTGGAGTTGCAATTCAAAACTGATTGCGCGGCTAATATCCAATTGACGAAAGTAATATGTTGCGAAAAAATTACAGCTCGATATACGGTACTGATAACGACGCGATGTCTGGTATTTAGCAAGCTTCCCGCGGATAGCAGTGATCTATAAATACTAACAATCTATATATAAATATCCGTTGTTATATACCGATCAAGATATAACATTTATTTGCGTTTATCCATTGAGAATTCGTGAAGGGTATGGTTGCGCTCCATTTCTTAAAATCTACATGGTTCATGTTTGGCCTATATTGTTTCTACGTTTCACTCAGTGTTAATAATTGCATATCGTGAGGAATTACGTCCGATCTTATTAAGCTAACGATTGATGCGTCGACGACAAAAATCGTTGGAAATGTATTAAGAGATTTTGCAATTCTACCTCTCATTGTCAATGTGTTACTTGTATTCTTAAACAGCACGTAATGCATAACAATCTTGTTGTAAATCCACAAATGATACTATATACTTAGAATAATCGATGAAATCAAAAAGTTCAAGTTTGTCAGTTTTTTTTTGTTACTTATTTTCATATATTTCTCTTTCCGTTTTAAGAACGCTTTCAAAATTATATCTATTAAATCTCTGGTTTTGTGTTTTGCGTGCATGCGAGAAGAAATCTACGGAAATATATGGCATTAATAATGTATGTGATATGTATGTGTATACGAATGTATTATTCGAAAAATATCGTGTGGCTCTTCGTTCTGTGTTTTCCGTAGAAAGCTAGCTCACATTAGCTATAAACGTTAAATGCTATCCTAAAGCTAATATCTCTATGGTCTCTTGTTAATGAAGTTTATGAAAACTCATTGTTATTACTCTGGTCTTGAAGAGAATCAAGTTAGTAAAGAAATGAGCTAGAGAGATATCGAGACGTACGTGGTCATATCAACGTTACTGATTTATGCCGAGGCAGTGTGGTGATTGTGTATATGTATATATTGTTCTGTACGCGAAACGTATATATTTCCTGCAAGAGATCTGATACCTACAAATAATTGTTGAATATTTATAAATACTTTATAGCAGCACTTACTTTTGTATAGTGTGGTTACCGTTTACATTGTCCCGGCGATGAAATGGTGTAAATCCGTTTCGTCTCATTTAGTTTCTTTCTTTATCGAACAAATTCCGAACATCTTAAATACAAATAATGCGAATAATTATTACACTAGAGAAAATAATGTACAAATAATTTGTATCAAAGAGAAAAAATATAAATATAAATTATTTTACGTTAAAATTCTGATATATATATTATATACGTATTATATGTAGCCTGATGTAAGCGCTACTTGTTGCCGCGTGAAATTTATTGCGTTTATCTGCATAATAATAATAATAGTAGGTAAAATAAAAATCGATTCGATAAGGACGTATTGTACACAGTTATGAAATACTCTGTCGTTTAATTCATTGAGATTTTATACCATTACACTCGTCTTTCACTTATTGAAGTTATATAAAAGCTTTATACATATAACCGTCGTTATTATTTGCTTAAATAACTATTTTTTCCGACTTGTTCCGACGATTCGAATCATCGTGACTGTTCCAGATGTAGAAAAATCATCGTACAAATACACACACATTTCTATCACTGTTAAAATCAAGTTTGGTGTTGCGAGGTATATATGCTTATATGCATTAAAGTATTGTAGGCCATTAGACGACGTTATTCGTCGGGCTTTTAATGTGTTTGAAAATGAAAATTATGACCATCCTTCGAACGCCGTCCGCGAAATTTAATTATAAATTCTAGGGCTAAATCAAGAATGTGCTACTACCATGTAGAGAATGTTCGAACGAATGTTTTGCAGTAGTTCACATCTAATTAGTGACGAGCAAATCCGTATGTAAAATATTATATTCAAGTATATGCGAATTTTTATTGTTTACGATTGAATTTAATGCAATGTACATATATACGTGCACTGTCGTTCAGATTGTGCAAGGATCGATGTTTTTAGTGCCAAATTGTTGCTGTGTGTCGATAATGTACAACACGGAGGCTTTTGATAAATTTAGTTAAAGTACGGATTCTCGAGGAAAAAAATATATAAAAACATTTCAAGAATTTTTTTTAGCGAAGTATAAACGATTAAAGTAGTGATAATGCCATCGATGTATATACATATATAACTCCCCTTTTAATTTAATCCACTTTCTCTTCTCTAATTAGATTAATATAGATCAATGCCAAAATAAACGATAAATGCTAGTTTCATCGTAGTACAATATTGTACATCTTTCTTATTATTATTGCGACACTTTCTCCAGTTTTGTTATACATTTCACTTTATTCACGTATAATAGTCAGCAATTGTCAAGTGGAGATGATTGCAACTTGTCCTATCGACTTCTTATCTCACTGATCTCAAGACTGAATGCAGCAGTACATCGTCCTTTCTTTCTTTCCACTGAACTGTAAGAAAACAGGTGAAACATAATCGCACCAATGCGATGGACTCGAACGTATCCTCACACATGAGAAAACTAAATCCTTTTTTTTGTTTATAAAAATATAATATTAACCACAGAGCTCGAACAATCTCGCATGTATATATAATCCCGTGTTATGCCATATACACAAACGTATTAATGTCATCGTCGTGTCTCCGAATATATTTGTGTTCAATGAGCCATTCAATCTGTTCCTTTATCATCTTTTTACTCGGCAAGAACATATTTTTCAATATATCCACTAGTTCGGTCTGTAGCTGCGCATTAGTGATCTTCTTGCGCATCTTTAAGATCTTGATGATAGCTTCCTATAGTCACACAAAAGATGAGAATTATTCATAGCCACCAATTAAAATGTCGATCGATATTTTTCTATGTGTTATGTCACATTACTTCACGTAAATGTTTACTATACCTGAACCCGTAATATTCTGAGTTGTACAATAGATTGGTTATCCTCTTCTCTGCTACGTTCCGTTGATAATTGAAGACGTCCTATCAAATTAATTTTCCCCCGCTTTTGCATCTTGCCATTTTTTCTAATGTAGAAATATCGCAATTAGTAATTACAATAATAATTTAATGAATACTAAACTCAGAAACGAGATAATTATTATCAAACCAAACGAATATACAACGCGCATTGTGTGACGCACATCTTGTACAAAAAATAAATACTAACACTATAGCGAATTCTTGATTAACCCAAAATCTTGTATCGTTCGCAAAATCTTTCGGGGTAGTGGCATGCGGTTCCACCAAAAGAAGTTGCCGTTTTAACTTCGGGAAGGCACACAAAGACCACAGAGTTCGTCTCAACTCGGGATCCGGAAGCTCGGTCGCCAACCGGAGATTCTCGTAAGAGATCTTTTCGTTGGGTCGTTGATTCCAAGCGAACAACACCGCCATTTGGAAGGTCGTTACATCTATATCGAAGCGTCCCACTTTATTCGCAAATGTTATCTGAAACGTCCACGCCACGAAATATGCATTAAAAGTTAGGATCAACATGTTTTGGAGTATTGTACGAGCACGGATAGAATTTTGTTAACGTATTAAGTACCGTGCCATTCGACATATGATGATGCCATTGCAACTTCCTGCCACTATGCTTTTTTTTATAAAATTCTTCGACCTCCGGAATATAATCTTCCAACTGAAGCGGCAAACTCACGGTGACGCGTTCGCTACCCCTGGCCCATGCGCCTGCGTTGAGAATCTTCAAAAAATATAGCAGATTAATATATTTTAAAATATCTTTATACACGTATACCTTTTACATATCTTTCCTATTTCTTTTCAATACCGATCTTAAATAAAAACATATACGTTTGCGAAAAAACGACATGTATAGCTACCTTGATATTTATACTATCTGCAATAGTAGCTCGACATTGTTCTTTAAATTGTTGATTCAGGTCCTGAGATACTTTAATATCTTGGAACATACGGGCTAATTTATTAACAAAGTCCGCGGGCATGCCGACTTCACGAAGCATGTCTACCATATTTTCTTCTTTTTCCGAATCCGTTGTCGTATCTAATATTAACCGTCTAGTTAAATGCGCCTTATGATAACGCATAAACACGTCCTTATTTTGAACGTATTTTAGCACCAACAGCTAAAATAAAATGTGATACAGAATAAATTTTATCAGAAAAGATTTGGTTTCTAATCCATATGGATATAGTTATCTTATTGCGTATACTGACCACATCCTTCAATTTACTTTCGATTTCATCAGTAGTTAATTTCTTACTGAGCGGCGTTTTTCTAAGAAGCATATCACAGAAATTCGCTAAGAGTTCCGGACACTTCGATTCGGCTAGTCCGTTATTATTAGTAATAGGTCTATTATTTAAAACGGACGCGCCACCGATTCCAGAGCCCTGCCGAGTAGGCAATTCTAATTTAAATACCGTGGCGTCATTCACAACGAGCTTATAAGCTTTATCTCGTGCTGTAAGAAACCGCGGATCATCATCGAACGCATCTTTAACAAGCGTGGAAAATCTATGGAAAAGATCTAACAGTCTTTCCACGTATTTCTCGGAATCTTGAGTGATAACGTCTACAGCTGCCATCATATCCGCTAGACCTGCGTTCGAGATATGGTCTTCCAAATTTTTCAACATAGGATTGACGCCGTCGGGCACTCTATCCATTAACTTCAGCATGAGGCGAAGTTCTACAATTATTTGCTTTCATTAATAAGCGCCAATTACAGAGGTGACATACATGTAACTTGAGTCTCGTAAAACGAGACTCATTAAAGTTACATATATTGTGAAATTACAAGGAAAGTGATTACTTACTGTCAGTTTGATTATTTTGAATCATTTGCGGACATTCCGCGAGTATCGCTAACGTATGGGTCGCGACCAACACTTTCACGCAACAATCCGTTAATCGTTGCATACTCGTCGGTTCCAAGTACTTCTGAGCGCGCGCCTCCTCCTCTCTCAACTTCGAATCGGCGTAACGCATATAATTTTCTACACCGTGCAGACTCAGATAATCTCCCGCTTTCATCTTGTAAAACTCATCGGTGGCGTTTACATACGCCGTCTCGAAATTCTCTCTATATATTTGGAGCTTATCCGACGAATTTGAACACAAATTCACTGAAACATTATAACACTGTATTATTAACAAAAAATATTTTGCTACACATAAAAACTTGTGGATGTTTTTTATTACCATAAGATTCTCTAACGCCGATAACTAGTTGAGAATCAAACGCCTCGCCGTTTCTCTCGGCTCGCACTAATCTCATGGCTGCATCCTGAAGTTTTTGTTTTATTTCATTGAATATACTTTGGTTCCAACTGTCCAACATTAGCTGTATAACAGAAAGAAAATCACGCAATATTACAAGACATTACATCACGTATCATAAGACTTTTACCTTTCTAACAACATCATCAGGCTGATTCTTCTTCTGTGTAGAAGTCCCTTTTCCGGCGAGGTATGTTTCTAGTTGTCTAAACGGTGTTGGTAAATAGTTACACTGGGTAAAAAACTTCCTCCACTCGGTGATGTATGCTTTCAACAATGCCTGTTCTTCTTGATGCGCTAAAACTCTCTGTAAAAAGTCATAATATTCAATTATTTCAGTGGAACACGTAAAGAAGGTACATCAAAGGCATAGTCTCGAGTGTGGCTCGATAGCAATACTCTGTCGCTCTCTCACCTGTTGAGCTTGTTTTATAAAAGCCATTATATCCTCCTTCAGAGCATCGTGTAACTTGGGAGGCCCCTTGTCGTCCCACAGGCATACATGAACGGAATAAAACAGATCCTGCCATTCCCCTTGCGTCACTGGCTCTTGCTTGAGCAGTTTCAGTATGATTGGGCGCATGTACGGCCATTTGTCCTCGAATGTGAATTGTGTCCTATCCTAAATATCAATACTGCGTGTCAGTGACAAACAAGAGATAAGTGATAAAGAGGTATTTTAAGACGTGGGGAAAAGAAGCGGAAAACACGAAGCCACGGGAACGACGTTTGATCCGGATATTCGACGTGAACTCGACCAATCGTCGGACCGTCGCAACGTGGGCTGAATCGTCGATGCGATAAAAAAAAAAAAAAAAAAAAAAAATCTTTCGGATCGCGATATCAGAGTTGCCGTTTTGCATGGTCGAGACGCGCCCGTTATCGCGGCGGCCTGCGGCGAGATAACGGGCGACCCTCGGACGAAGCTCCGAGGAGAAAAGCGAGTTTCTCGCTCGTACAAATTTGTTTATTCGACCTCGACGTCGACTAACCTTCAACAACGCCGCCATCACAGTCCACGGACTCTTGACGTGCACGTCCACCAGGATTCGCAGGATCACACGCCAATGGGCACACGCAGTACACACACACAAACACACGGGCAGTCTCGCGCGAGCCCGCCGGTCGACGGGGGTCCTCGTCGTCGAGAACCGGTGACGAGATTCCGATTATTAGCGCGGTACACGGCGCGGTGTGGGCCGCATCGTGTCACTCGTGTCAGGATCCCGCGATCGCACGCCCCTCTCGACGACTCCCGGAACGTCGTCGTCCTCTCCCCAGAGAGGAAAAATAAATTCGCGTGTGTGTCTCCTGCCGCCCCTGCCGGAATTCCTGCGTACGTAGTACGCCGCGCGATCGCGCGAGAAAAGTCCCTCTCTCGCGCGCGCGGACCACGTGCCGTCGCAAATCCCTATGCGACGCCTCGCGCGATTGGAAGGATTAGGCGGATATTAAAATGGCGGTTAAACGAGGCTTCCAAGTTCCAATTCGAGTCTTTATCGTCGTGCTCGAAGACTGAAGCTCGCGTTAACATTTTTTTAATGCGTCACCACCTTTTTTTTCTCGTTTTTTTTTAAACTGCTATTGTATTTTTTAAGATTCATATCTGCGCGCTTATATACATGAGATTTCCATTACATGCGGGTTAAAAATATATACAAGCGTGTATGAACATGAAAATGTGAAAATAAATGTCTTACAGCGGACAAATGTATCAATATTACATTATTATTTCACTCTTGATGCAGAGATACAAGTAATCGAAAGACCTCGTTGCCGATCTACGCGAGCCTAATTTTTGCAAGACCTCAGAATACTCCTTTTTCTTTTTTTGGTCGAAATACACTTATGGAATATACCTAGCAATATGACGTTAACGTCGCGGGCATGTACATCAAGACGGCACAATAAATAAACACGGAGGCTAATTTAAGAGTGCGCTCGACTTCGAAAGTTGAGTTACTTTTCCAACCTGGACTCCAGGCACGTCTCGATACTCGATATGCCTTAATACGAAATAAAAAAAAAGAACGCTTATATTTATTATGCTTAAATCTCAATGGGATTCACAACAATCGCCTTCCTCTTGTCTTCCTTGTTGTTGTTGTCCTCTTCCTGTTGCTGCAAATCGTCCTGTCCCCTGATTCTGATGTTGTGCTTTTCTTTGTACTCGTTTATCTCAATTCCCTTCTTCGTCACCTGGTCGTTTAAAGTGTCCATCACTTTCATCAACTGAAACATAAATTTGAATGTTATCGCAGTGTACCCAGGTATCCCGACGGTCCGTTCCGAGGAGATAAACGATAGGCAAGTCGCACCTGTTCCTTGTTCGTCACCAGAGCGGGCATCACGTTTTCCACCGTGCGCTCGCACAGAAGCCCGCCGATCATTCTGTAGCACTTCCTCTTAGGATCCACGTTCTTTAACGTGTCGATAACAATTCTAAAACGTCAGTCGTATTAGTGGGGACGGTTCGACGAGGTCGCGTTCTATATTCGCATTGGCGACTCTCGTCTCTCGATCGTATTTCGCGAGGCTAAAAAAAAAAGCACGAGCATCCCGTCGCGGTCGCGGGACGCGTTCTCGATTGTCGAGAGCGAAAGAGGCAAGCGTACAGGTTAGGGTGGACTCATACTTGTGCTCGTTCAACTCCATCTCCATCTCGGACAGTTTGTTCGCCAGGATCCTCTGTTCGTTCCGTAACGACTGGAATTCGGTCAGTATCTCCTCGGCGCTTTTCTCTCTTTTTGACGGCGCCTTCGCCGGTTTTTTTTCGCTGGCCATATTAGGAATTTCGATCGCGGTAATTCCAGTATACGACGGGGTCGAGCTCGAACGACGGAGAGCTGTGCGCAGCGCGGAGTTCAGCGTTCACTCGCGTTTAGCGGAGAGCCAACGGAGAACAACAACGTCGGGAGAGCCGTGCGGCAGAACGACGAAGCTCCGCTTCCGCTCTCGAGCGCTCGCGTAGTCCCGCTAGTCCCGGACCGCGCGGCAGGGTTCGCGAGCATCGCGAATCGTGGCGAGTGGTGGCGAGAGGTCGTCACACGGGCCATTTTGGAACATATCTCCGTCATCGAGCAGCTGTGCGCAGGATAATCGTCCGTTTCGTTTCGCCGCGACATGTCAACACTCGCTGCCGTCCGCGCTACGTAGAGTGCGGTGTCGCGAGGTTGATCGTCGGAGCGGCGCGCGTCTGTCCTCGTCGGGGCGAGACGTGGACGCGGATCGCGAAATCGTCGTCGTCGTCATCGTCATCGTCGTCGTCGCGGGTGGTGGCGTGAAACTTGGTCGCCCGCGGGGGGAAACAAAGAGTCCCCGCGATCGCGGAGCGCCTCTCGTCAACCTTGACCCGTTCGTCGACAGCAGTGAGCAACAGTGAGTGTCCCCGTCGTTCCCGTCGACGAAAATAGTCCTCGCCACCTCGGAAACGTTCTCGCTTGACGTTTTAAAAAAGAAAGGCTCGCTCTCCCCGCTCGCCTCGTCGCGTTGACTAATCCGCTGATATATCGCGGACGTATATATACGCGCGCGCGAGGATGCTTGCAACGCAGTACGGTGACGTCGCGTTGCAGTTGCACCCGTGTCGTCGTCGTCGTCGTCACGCTCTTGGCTCCGGATCTCGCGTTTCCTTTGTGTATATGTATACACATGTGTATACATGTGTGCAACTATATATGTAGAAGTTAAATTCGCGACGAATATTTTGGCAATATTTAAAAGTGCAGGCACCATATTTAAACGCAGTTTGGCACGTGAGCTCACGCGATAAATGGCTGTGCTTTCAGATTTTGTGGCCCGTTGAAGATGATGACGCGTGTGCAATAGGAATCTTCCAAGAGTATACTTATCTGAACTTCCAGTGGAAGACGCGAGATTACTGAAATTTATAGCCATGTTTTGCAGTGGTAAAATATTAGCTGAATTAGCTGTGTAAGAGAGGACACGTTGAAATATGCGCTTGCCTGGATTACTTCTATAATCACTTCTATTGTGTATATCCTGTTGGTTAGTACTTATCTACACATGCTTATCTCTTTCCTTTTAAAAGTATGATTTTTCTTTATGAATCATCGTTTTCTCTTGTGCTTAATGTTTCAGTATACATTACGTGGCAAGTTTAAATGAGACAAAATGAGTGGTGAAAGTACGGAAGAAAGCCAGCAGCTACCTCTGGTCCTCGAAGAGATAAATCTCGCTTCGATGCAACCTGTGTTTCCAGACACAAACAAACGATGCGTGGATGTGTGGACAGAGAAGATGAACAAGGGAGTGCTGACGAGTATTAACTTTAGGGAATACTGGCGACTTTGGGTGCCAAAGATATACAGCCCGGAGCGTAACGGCAACTGTCTGGAATGGGTCATCGACGAAGACACGGCGAACAGGATGCTTCTCAGGACCCTGGAGGAATTTATCTGCGGCGGTGATCCACAAGCGATTCTCAAGGAGCTCAGCATGATGGACAATCCACCGTCCATATGCGGCAGATTGTTCAAGATGGGCGAACCGACGTACAGCTGCAGAGAGTGCGGCATGGACTCTACGTGCGTTCTCTGCGTGGACTGTTTCAAGCAGTCGGCTCATCGAAACCACAAGTACAAAATGGGCACGTCCAGTGGGGGCGGATGCTGCGACTGCGGCGACCCGGAAGCCTGGAAGAAGGAACCGTTCTGCAAGACCCATGTGGCGGGGACGCAGACGAAGGAGTCGCGCGGCAACAAACTGCCTGGTGACATCGCGGAGAGAGCGGTAGTGGCTTTTGAAGCGTTATTGGAATACTGTTACGAATTACTGACTCTGAGGTACACCGTGGCGTTGCCATCGAATCTCTGCATCAGAGACACCGCATTTTACTCGCTCACGCTCGATCAATTGGACATTTTTGATACTTACTGCACCGTGCTCTTCAACGACGAGCATCACACCTTCGATCAGGTGATAAACATGCTCCAGCGCGTTCTCAAGTGCTCGCACAAAGAGGCCGTAGAATATGTGACTAATGTCGACCGGGAGGGCAGAGCCGTGATAAAGTGCTCGATATTTCGGCACTGCAACGAATTGCGGGGCGACGTCGAGAAATTCACGTACAGGCATAGCAATCGACCGCTCAAGGTGCTCGTCCTTCACACTCACATAGTCGCCCATCAGACGTTCGCTATAAGACTGCTCAATTGGTTGCAACAATTCATAAGTCATTGCGAGGGTTTCCGCGTCCTGTTTAGCAACATCGCTCTCAACACAAAGCTACCTGATATGTCGGTTGTCGAGGGCATACTCACGAGAGATTCGCAACTGTGGAAATCCGCTAGAACAGTGTGGCACAGGTTATTCATTTACGGAATGCTCGTGGAGTACGAGAGCAAAAAGGCGCTTTCCATTGTATTCACAAGTAATTACGCGTCCGTTATGAAGGATTTCATCAAGGACGATCATGATCATTCGTTCTCGATTGTCTCGCTCTCCGTTCAGTTGTTCACCGTCCCGACTCTGGCGCATTTGCTAATCGCGCAGCACGAAGCGCTATTCAACCTCCTGACTACGTTCATATCTGAGAGCTCCCGACGATGTAACGCTACTGGAAAATTGGAGTTTGAGAGAAACATGCCGCACCACAACTTCAAGCGGGCGCAATACGTACTTTACGACCTTCGGTACCTGCTGAGCGCAAAACCAGAAGACTGGACGGATGATCTGAGACGTGGTTTCTTACAGGGTCTCTCGCTGTTATTCACTCTTCTTTCCAGTATGCAGTGCATGGACGCGGTACTCCGACAAGTCGGACAACATATGGAATACGAGCCGGAATGGGAGTCGGCGTTCAATCTACATATAAAACTGTCACCAGTCATTACGCAGGCCTTGGAGTGGTGCAGCTCGGACCGCGTGGTGCTGATCAAATCCTTTATGGCGCTTCTGAAAAAACTATATGAACAGCAGGGTATTGAGCAGCCGCCGAGCCAGGTGCGAGAACTGGCGGATCATAGCGCAACGTGCCTGCAATACGATGTGGCGTCCGAACCAGTTTCCATCCATCTGCCGCTCTCGAGATTCCTCGCCGGCCTGTTTCTGCATCTGGAAAAATACAATTTACATTTTCAGTCGCCCGAATTCAACAATCCGATGAAACCGACGCCCGAACAGATCATCGATCCCGTGTTGACGGCGCAGGCCATGATCTCGCAGGTGCACGCGGGCATGTGGCGACGAAACGGCTACTCTCTGCTGAATCAGCTGTACTTCTATCACAATGTCAAGTGCCGCACCGAGATGCTCGATCGGGACATCGTTTTGTTGCAGGTCGGCGCGTCACTGATAGAAAGCAACG